TTATTGTTTCATAATTTTTAAGCCGACAACTAATGGTTTGTTTGTTTTCATTGCAGATAATTGTTTCGTATCCCTTATTCACGGTATGGGCTATAATCCCATCACTCAGCGATGGTTTTGGACGCAAAACCAAAGCATTAATTATGCGCTTAAAGCCGTTAAACAGTGAAAAAGCATTATTATATTTGTTATGATTGTGTGCCGTATCGACCACTTTGTGTACTTAATAATAAATAGTTTGCAAACATATTGCCTCTCAATTGACGTACATTTTAAGACACACTTTCATTCGTAGGAATTCCTTCGTATAGTAGACTTAAAAAGTATATAAAAGTCGAGAATTGTTGTTAACTTTTTCACTAATAATAGCAGAATTTTGTTGTACTTTAAGAGATCTCTTGAAATAAAATTTATATTATTTTAAGCACTTAATTGTTTTAATAGTTCATAATTTTTAAGATTATTATATATTTCGTTACATTTATTAGCCGTAAGTATAGGATTCCTGTGTTTAAAAACTTTATATCATATGAATTGCGAACTGATTTCGTTAGATGAAGACATTCTCGCCATCGGTGGTCATCATATGCCTGCTGTACATCACGTCAACCATCTGTGACATCAGTATTCAGGACCGGAGGATACGCGAAGCCAAACAACTCGATGACCACAGAAAGGTTAACGCAGTCGACCGTAGGATAGCTCAACCCATCGCTGATTATGTAATGAATGAGAGTTTTTATGTAATTATTTTTGGTATTTATTTATGAATTTATGTCAATTTCAGAGGAATGAGAGAATGAGTGCTCAAGAGGTCAGCGAAACAAGAGTTGAAAATCGTGTCGAAAGAACTGACGCTCGACTCGAGCGCCGGGAAGACTCGGATCGACGAGACTCTCGACTCGAGCGCAGAGAATCCGATTCCGAGCGAAGAGAGACACGCGTTGAACGACGAGAAGATTCAGACCGACGAGACTCCCGTCTTGAGCGCCGGGAGGATACTGACCGACGGGACTCTCGACTCGAACGCCGAGAAGATTCCGATCGTCGAGACTCGCGACTCGAGCGCAGAGAATCCGATTCCGACCGAAGAGATGCCCGACTCGAGCGAAGAGAGACACGCC